AAAAATTAACCAGGTGTGGTGGCCTATCCCTGTAGCTACGCAGGAGGCTGAGGTGGGAGGATCACTCGAGACTGGGAAGTGGAGGCTGCAGTGAGCCATGATTGTGCCACTGCACTCCAGCCTGGGCAACAGAGTAAGACCATGTCTTAAAAAGAAGAAAAAAAAAATGAAAGAAAGAAAAATAAAGTCTTAAGCGAATAAGCCAAGTAAACTATAGTTTATTTACAAACAAAGGATAATTTTAGAGGGCACATTGGAGACAGGAAAGCAGTTGAAAGAAATCATGAAGAACATACACATTCATTAAGTGTTTCTTCAGTTTCTTGAGGGCAGGTGCCAATCATAACCATCTTTTAATCCTTAGAACCTATCCCAGTGTCTGCTATATGCTAGACACCATGCAAATGTTTGTTATAATAAAATGAGACTCTTATAAATGACTTTTAATTATTTCCCCCTGAGGGAAGAGTGTGATAAAAGATCCTTTTCTTTTTCGTTTACAGGAAATGAGAAAGAAGAATAGCTTAGGGCACTTAGAAGGATATAACCCAATTCTACAAATGCTTCACACTGTCTATTGGGTTAGCCACGGGTGAGTGTAGACCTACATAAGTGCATTTTTTCCCGGAGTCAATTAGATTTATCTAGAATTTCCACTGAGGCAGATTCTGTCTCTTCTCCCAACCCTGGGGAGAGACATCTATAGCAGGGAATCATTTTTGTCAATGGATATAGTCTTCCCAACCTTCATCCTGTAAGTTTATTAGAATAGAAGTTTTGTCAACAGAAATCACATATAATAAGTCAGTCAGTCATTGGATGATAGAGCTGAAATGTGTCATGCTGCAAATTCCTTCACTTTTAGATATTTAGATATTTTGTTCATGGTGGCTGAGTAGTAAAGTCGCCTCTATGTTCAGTTTCTCCTCCTCTTAAGTAGCTAATGATGATGTCTTCCTGGCCCGCCCCTTCCGGCTCCCAGGCCTTCTAGGACTCACAGGCAAGTTCCTATGTCAGAGAGGTTCCTGGCTTTCTAAAATCTGTCACCCACATCTTGTGGTCTTAATGGAAGGACAAATGAAGTTCCTGTCTTTACATGATGCCATTTGTCCCTTCTGATGTGTGGCATAGTCATCCTCTTCATTTGATAGACTTGTTGTTGGGGGGAGAGACGTTTCTGTCACCTCCTGGACTGTCTTCCCAGCCCGTCTGCAGACCTCCATCTCCATATTCTCTCTATAGCATTATGCCTCCATCACTAACTATTACTTTTGTGAACTCGCTAATTACAGTGTAGCTTAATAGCATTTATGAGAACAAAGATTGTTATAGTTTGTCTTTGTTTCGAGGAGCTCACCATCTACTATGTGATACAGACATAAACACATCTTACAGCTGAGGGGCAAACAAAATGCTGAGTGATACAGGAGGAAAGCCATGGAGGAGGACGGACGCCTAGAAACGGTAGAGTCAAATTTTAGAAGTTATTTCAAACTCTGTATCTGAACTCTGCACCCCTGCAGAAAATGGGCTATATTCTCTTTAGGGAAGGATAGAGGCCGTGGAATTGAAACTCTTGTCACAGTTATTTAAAGTTGTCCCTTTAAATGAAGGAGTGGCTTTGTCTGTTATGATTCAAAAATATAGGTGTTCTCAACTGGTTTGCCAAGGTACATTGGCCTATTGTGAATCCTTCACAAATCTGTTGCCAAGTTTTAGCAAATTTGTAAGATTAAAGCATACTCTGAGATTCCTATATTCCAGAGGTAGATTTCAGACAGAACTTTAAGTTGACCAGGTGCTGGAACAATGTCACGGAGGGAACAGAAGGTGGCAAGGAAAAGGTAAAAAGCACAATATCCTGTCAACTAGCACCAAGAAGGAGGGAGTGTTTACTGCAACATGTGCCACCATTATTTGTTAACTAGCACCTGTTAACTAGCACCACCTGTTAACTAGCACCAAGAAAGAGGGAGTGTTTACTGGAGCATGTGCCACCTCTATCTGTAAATATTGAGAATGTGGCTGTGGACAGGGCAGAATGTGATTCTGTTCCTACAGTCAGATGTGTTGTGAGTGAACCAAGGGAATGGGGGAAGAACTGGATGTACCTCCACAGACTGCAGGAGACACTGTCACATTGTGATGAAAGATTGCTGACTTTTTAACAATTTAACTCTACAATATTTATTTTATTTAAAAATCCATGAACACCTCTAGCATTTTTTTTTTTTTTTTT